TGCTGCATTACAGAAATATTCCTGCAGGTGGAGTTTGAATTGGTGGACATGTGTGTCTTTAGACTGCTTAGGGCCTTGCAAAGTTCTGATTGTACTCAGCTTGTTACACAGGCACTGGTCCTCCCCCATGTATGTCAACGGAAGGATGGCCCTTCATTTAAGCTGATCTTCCCAGTTGTAGAGGACCCACGTCTTTATCCATTTGGCTCTTATCTCCTGGTACTGACACTTGAGCAATGAATCTGCTTTAACATGGGCCAGTTTTTTGATAACCTTATGTGCCTTGAAATAGAGTTCTTACCTGATCCCTTCCGACATATTTCTTGTATTTTCTTTGCCAATGGTGTCTTGGAGACTTTGATGATCTTCTAGAAAATCCAGTCTTCAGGGCCAAAAGCTTCGTTGTTGACAAAAGGAATCATTCTATGAGCCATCTGGAACGTCTGCACTGCTGTCACCCCAGTCTTTGTTGCCAACATCAAAAGTTCGGTGGAGCCCACTCTGCTTTGATTTTCCAGGAACTGGATGCCAATTGAAATATACCTACTGTTGGATAACTCTTTATAGGCTTAAGAATGTATTGGTCGCATTGGAGATGCGAGGAAATCTGTCATGTTCTCTTTGTGGTACTCCATCCTATGATGGGACAAGTCACTGGACTCCTCTTTTCTTTGGTCTTCACCTCCTAGGGTATTGTCAACAGCAATACTAACTCGTGTTAGTGGGCTCAGCTCCTCCAGATGTGATGGCATTGACTCTAATGATCCAATACTGGGAACGTTTTTGGAGTTTCCCAGCAGCACCAGGACCTTCATTAGCTGTCATTGGCAGCTTGACCCTGGAACACATTAGTGCCAACCATTTCTGTGATTTAGCAAGCTCTTCCAAGTTAGATGTGTTGGTAAGCAATGGGCTCGCTTATTGTAAATATTAATCCAGTACTCTCCATCTCATTGACAACTTTACATACTTTGCTGTGAAGGAAATCTTGGGGCATCTTGGAGCACCTGACAGACTTCAGAGATTTATGGGGAACTCATAGTAGTTTAGGAAAAGAAGAAAAAAACAGGACTGTAACTCTAGAACAAGTCAGGTCAGAAACAATAGCTAGTCACAGATCAAAGTTTAGAATGAGATACTGATTGTGGCTGGAAGTTGAACTTAAATACTGATATTCCAGATTTAAATGCAATGGTTGATTGAGTTCTAATTGGTCAAAGGTTCATCTTAGTGCATAAGTTAAGGGTAGTCTTAATGTATACTCATCTGTAGAACATGTACCCAAGGAATTTGAGGACTTCCCAATTTTCTAGCTTTCCAGGATTTTCATTTCATCAGCTACCTGCCATGCTATTCTCTGTTGCCCCTGATGGAAAACATGAATATGCAAGACAAACTCTCCAACCTGGCCTCAACCCTAGTATAATGTTTGGTTATTATGTAGACAGAGCCTAGTTCTAGTAGAAAGGAATGAAGCCGAGATTGCTCGGGTCTTACACATTCAAGCTGACTCAAGTTTGGCACTTTGACCATTACCCCTCGCCAATGCTCTAATAGCTTTTCATTAGGAACTTTCCTCCATTTACAAATTGTATAACAATAGTACAAATTAAAAAGTTTCACCTTGTGGGTGATACCTTCCAGCTCCCCCTATTACACTTATAGCCACATTTTCATGATTTAAAACTGTATTTTGTAATAAAACAATGTAAATAAAATATTCAGTAAAACATTTTGTTTATTCATATTATTTCAATTTGCATGACTAAAAAATACTCCTATCACAACTAAATAATACATTAGGCAAACAACATGTATATATTTGTCATCTAAGACATTATCTGTGAATTTCATGTACTACTGACAATTTCACACACTCATTAATATTTCAACTTGATAAGTTCACTCACAGTTTTGGTTGATGTATTATATTTATGTTGTTATATGTCATGTGTGTGTGTTATTTGTGGTTTTCCAGAAATCTTTTATTTGTTAGTTAGCTTTTAAGTAGGAACCAAATTCCGTTGAGAGTAATAAAAAGAAATTACTTTTGGAACCAGTATTTCCACATTAGAATCAGTGAATTATCAGCTCAGATATTCAGTTTTATAGAATATATATATATATATATATATATTTGTGAACGAATTTGCCCTCAGTAGTCCAAGTAGAAAGGAACTGATTTTACCTTAAGTTACTACATATGGCCCTTCACACAAGCCAGGTTTTATGTCTGTGAAATCTTGCAGTGAAAGCACCACAAAATATAATTCAAAGATATTTTCTGTTTCTAGGTTGGTGTGCACTTCTTTGAAACTATGTATATTCCACTGATGCAAAAAAAATCACCATATAATAAATGCATATGCGGAGTGAGTGGGTGTCTGTTTCTCTCTCTACACACACTCAACTATATTTAAAGTAATATTTACATATTACTGTGCTTCAGTAATTGACTTGAATACACATTTCACTCAAAATATATATACTAAATAATAATTTGACTTTCATGTAGTCATCACTTAAAATATCTTTCACTGTGGATGTTTTGGAATCATTTCAAATTTCATCATTAGCATTAGAACCTCAAAAAGTTAGTTCATGATATTCTAACTACAAAAACAACATTAGTTATTATGTGAGTAGTTTTTATATTCAATTGGAAGTTTAGAAAAAACAGTTTTAAACAGTAACAATATAAAACGTGCAGTGTACATGTTTAATAGCATTGTCAAGAGAAAACATGTAAAGAAAGGCTTAAATATAAGTATAAAAAATACATCTTTAAAGTAATCATAATAATCAAATAAAAAAAGAATTTGAAAGTGATTAAATTAATGACAACAGAGATGAGTTGATGTTATTATTTAGTGTTGGGTGATCATTGAAAATGGAAAGGCTTTCTTTAATAAAGAGTTTATAATCTGTTGTTCTAGAGTGGATACTTTTAAAGTTTTCTAGAAGTATGGGGTGGTGGTTGTAATTCTCACTATGTAATCGAATACAAGAATCAGTTGGATTAGTTAGCTTATATCTGCCTCTAACTGAAATTTCCATATGCTCGTGTGCACGTATTTGTAGGTGACGTGTAGTTTTATCAACACAGGTAGCTTTACAGCTACCACAAGTCTATTTATATACAACCCACAAGCACATAGAAATGGGTAGAATGTCTTTGGTTTTTAACATATTGTTAGTTCTAAATGTTGACGTAAACGTAGCTTAAGTTGTGGGTAATGTGTCTTGATTAGTTTTTAAATTTGAGATTTAAGTTTAAAATTTCATTTGTCCATGAAAGGAGTGATAAGAACTAGTGGGTATTTCGAGAGATGTGTAACTTCTTAGTAAGTTGTATTTTAGTTGTTAAAAATGTTAGTGTTATAGAGTGGTTGGTTATTTTAGAGCAAAGCCAGGTAATAAATTAAGGGGATAATCATTACTTTGTAATGTTATGAATTTTTTAAATTCCTGAGTAAAGACAGAAGTAGTTAGAACAGATATTATACACTCTGTTTAGAAGATCTAGAACCAGGTTATGTTTGAAAGAGTCTGGTATTAAACTGTCGAAATGAGTGTATAAGTCAGTAAACGTTTTTCATGGTAAACAGATATGACAAGGAGATTGTTTACTTTGTTTACTTGAATGTTATTTTTTCCTCCATCTCACATGTAAAGTTTATACATGAATGTTATGAGTTTAGATATTGTAAAAACTTCTTGGCATGATCAGTGTTGTGAAAGAGTAGAAAAATATCATCAATGTATCTTCTACATAATACTGGTTTCTAATAAAGGGGTAACTATCCAGCCACTGATGTTCATAATAACAGAGAAAAATATTTGCAAGAGTCAGACCTAAAGTTCATACCATCACAACTCTGTCTACCTGATCATAAAGTTGACCATTAAAAACAGTGATTGTCCTTGAGGGTCAATTTAAGGTGTTTGAAATGTTTTTGGTTAGAGTGCAGAGCATTTTTGGTACAGAATAACCGTTTATTAAATATTAAATTAAATAACGAATTGATTTGCATTAGGAAATTTAGATATGTCTTGAGAAAGGAGAAAAAGGTCTATAAAAGTATATTCCTTCTTAGTTAGTGAACTTAATGCAGGTTCAAGATATTTAGCTAACTTAGTAAAGCACATCACATACAAATCAAAAAAAGAGAGAAAAGGACTGCTTAAACACAGGTGTACTCTTCCATCAAGATAATGCAGTATCTCTTTTCTTTAAAGGTCAGATCATGACTTTTTCAGACACACGTCGTATAACATTTATGTAACATCAATTACCGCTTTAACAGCAGAATAAACACTGCAGTTTCTCTGAATTTCTAACTTAACCCAGTTGAAGAAAAAAATGGAAACAAGTATGAAAAACACTCTTTGTTGCACAAGACAAACATACAGTCAAGATATGTGCATAGAATGAATTCACAACACTACTCTCTAGTTTCTGATAGTTCTATCTCACAGGAACATTTGAATAAGACTGAGAGAACTTACTATTATATATATACGTATCAAACAGGTCAATTTTCAATTGCCATCCATGCCACATGGTCATTCTATAAGTACAAATAAAGGTGACACGTTCTTCAGACATTTCTAATCCTCTATGTGACTAAATTCACTAGGTTTGCTTCGGTTATTTGTGTGAAGCAACACACTAAATTATTTGTGCTATCTGTCCCTAATTTAGAACTGATACGCTAAAGGAGAGAATGCAGTTAGTCAACAGCACCCTCTGCCAACTTTTGATTGGGCTACTCTAATTGATTTGTGGGATTTCATTGTTACTCTTACATGCTAACCACTAGGCCATACTCAGCCTTAGCATACAATATTCACAATACATGCTCTAAATGTATTTGTGAAAAATCCTGGTGAACAAGTAATTTTCACTTTTTAAACTAAAAGGAAAAGAAATAATTGTTGTTTCACACATCACTCTGTAATGATAAATAGACAAGCCATGTAAAATAAAAATATATTTTTAATAAGACTTACATTGTACATTATGATCATTTTAAAAGTTCTGTTAATTTCCAGAAGAAATAAATACATAAAAATCTTGCAAGAATAAAGGTTTAAAAATTTCTTTAACGTCAGATTTTTTGTTTAAAAAATTTCTCTAATGTCAGATTTTTTAACTACTGAAGCCTACTGACATAGTTATCCATTAATAAGGTCAAGTTACTTTCCAATAAAGGGAAAAAAAATTTACTGAATGAATATTTATCCTAGGTTGCAGAAACACATGACACAATATTTGTTTTATTTTAACCTTTTTCTTCAAGTAATGCATGTCCACTGTTTTATTAATTTCTATATTTTGAGCTTAGTAAAAAAAGAAGTGGCATGAGATATCAGTAATATAAAGGTATTAAATGTCAATACTGATTTGAACAAGAGTTTTACGAAGAATAACTGTACAATTTTGTACTGACAAAGATTCTGGTATTTGAAACTACCATAGCTGACATTTTGCTCATCTGGTGAAACATCAGTTATGAAAATCTTGCAGTGTGAAGATAAGTCTTGTTTTCCAAACCTTAAAAATACAACAAGATATCAAAAAATTATTTCAGAGTTACACTCATTTACTCAAACGATACAGTTAAATAATTTTATTAGATGTGTTTTAGTATTCCAAAGCTAATCACTATTTAACTACATTAATATTAACTTCATGTATTAAGGGAGATGTAGAGAGTAAATAATGGAGATTTGAGCTCTGGGACAAAGAAATATTTGTAGTTGTAGGTTAAAGCATTTTTCTGGAGCAGTATTTATGTATTATTTCAATACTTTTAAAGTCTAGATTTGGGTTTATCTTAATTAGTTTAGTTGGAATTGGACACCTTTTTTTTTCTTTTTAGGTAACTACTAGTACTGGGTTATGGGATAATACAGCTATTAAATATTAGATTAAAATAGTTTTTCTAGTGTTAGCTAAGTAAGATGGATAATTTGTTTAACTTTAAGGTTTAAATTAGCAAGTTATTGCATGTAACTAGAAACGTTGTGGTACTGACATTGGTAATTAAAGGTATAAGTAGTGGGTAGTAGAGGATTTTGGTGATACACTTATCTACAATTAAATATTGCTTAATCTACAATTTGACTTAACAAGTTGTTATTATTGCAATGTTAGGATTATAAGAAATAAACTGGATGACCTTACAGCTATGGTTGGAACAGAAGGTTTAGATGTAATGGGAATGACTTGAACCTGGTTAAATGTAGACATAGAAGGTTATAGTTGTTTAATATGGATAGACTACTAAAGAGGTGGGAGGAGGAGGAGTTGCTTTATATGTAAAATGTGAGTTATATTCTGTTCCAGCTGAGGATATCAAAGCTAATTAGCAATGAGGTTGAATCTGTTTTGGTTTGTTAATGGTTATAAGGAAAGAAGGCTTTTGGTTGGAATTTATTACAGACTATCAGCAGGAACTGATGTAATTAATGAGAAATTCACAGTGAGATAAAGAATTCAACTGTTAATGAGATTATAATTATGGGAGATTTCAATTTCAGATATATAGATTGGGCAATGTTAGAGTCAAATTATGAGGGAGACAAGTTCTTAGAAACTGTTCAGGATAGTTTTCTTCAGTAATTGGTTAGAGAACCTACCAGGAACAATGCTATTTTAGATTTAATAGCCTTTACTATAGAACTGGTTGACAGGGAGGAGATTGGAAATGTCTGACAGCAAGTGTTCATTCCTTAATTAACATTGACTTTTTGCTACATGTGAAGATAAGGAATAATAATATATTGGTTAAAATGTTGAATGAATGAGAAAAGAGTTATCTGCTGAATTTGGCAAATGAATTAATTGTGGAAATTTTAAAAAATAAACTTAGATATGCAAAACAGGCACATTACTTATAGAAAAAAAATGGTGGCTGCAAGTAAAAAAATCAGGTCAGTATACAAAAGATGTAAAGGGTGAAATTAAAGAAAAGCACTATACATTTAAGAAGTTTAAATTGACTGCAATAATGGGAGATTATAAAAGATCAAAAGAGTTGGTCAAACAGGAAATTAAGAAATAAAAACTATATGAAAAATAGTGGCTGTAAATGTAAAAATTAATAGTAACAATTTCTTTAAATACATCAAGAGTAAGCATAATGTTAGGATGGGAGTAGGGCCTTTGAGGAATGATACTGGAAGGTTAATACCTGACAATTATGTAATAGCTAGGTTCTTAAATTTTACTTTTTATTCGATTTTTACTGATGAAGATTTAGGCAATATTCATCATCCTGAACAATTGCTAAATGGAAACATGAATGAACAAGGTGATCACATTTATTCTGAGCCTGTTAATAAAATACTGGGATAATTAAAGAACATAAAGCTCCTGGGTCAGAATATTTACCCAATGGTTTTAAAGGAGGTAAAGGATTAAATAGTGAGCAGGTGCCAGAAGGTTGGAAGTTGGCTAATGTTACTTCTCTTTTCAAAGGTGAAAAAATTGTTACAGTAACTACAAATCTATCACTCTTACATTAGTGGTGGGAAAAGTTTAATAAAATATGATTTGCAAAATCATTTAAGAAAGTTTAAAATTCTGTTGGATAGTCAGCATGGTTTCAGTAAGGGAAAAACCTTGCCTTATTAATTTTTTGACATTCTTTGAAGAGGTTACTACTTATGTAGATGACAGTAAATGTGTGGATTTGGTGTATCTGGATTTTCAGAAAGCATATGACAAAGTGTTACATAAAAGGTTGTTAAAAAGTTATCTCTATAGGTGTGTGGGAGAAGTTGCATCTTTAGATAGAAAACTGGCTGGATGGAAGAAAGCAGAAGGTTATTATAAATGGAGTTCAGTCAAGCTGGATTCAAGTCAGAAATGGAGTATCTCAAGACTCAGCATTAGGACCTGTGCTGTCCTTGATTTACATCAGTGACACAGATGAAAGAATGGTCAACAGACAATTTACATCTGCTGATGATCTTTAAGTTTGGGTGTTTCTGACTGTGTGGTGAATGCTGCTACTTTACAAATGAATTTGGATTTATTTGGCAAATTAGGCAAGTATAAATGACAGATGGCTTTTAATTATAATAAATGAATTATGAGTGTAATTTTGATGGGAATAACCTTAACATTATTTACAGTGTTCAGTATTGAGATTCTGGAAAGTAATTCAAGCTGGCAATGCCAATGAGTAAATAGATATGCTGTGTTTGTTTACAAAATTATTTGTAAGTTATAATGTAAAATTTATATACATATTATTGATACTCATTATAAACATATTGTTGGAATTATATACTACAACTTTTAGGTAAGAAATTACAAATAACAAAAACTTATAAAAAGAAAACATAAAAAATAAAGTGATATGCTGTTTTTCATTTGACATCTTTATAAACCAACTACTACACATCAAGAGAAATTCATACTTATTTTAATGTGATTTAGTCCTGAAAAGTTCAAAATAAAATGATCACCATTAATCATCACTCTTGACTAGTCATAACTAATTCAATTCAGAAAACAGTCTATCATGTCTAATTTTTCTGTTTCACGGAGACAAATAATATTTTCTTTATAATTAATTTGTTATTACATATTTATAATAGGCCAATTATATCTTATAATACTGCATTCTGTATGTAGTCTCTTACGGTTTTCAAGAATTAGGAGAGTGTATAATAACAGTATTCCAACCACACTACATTCACTGTATCCATTGCTGATGATGCATTTCACTCAATCTAGAGCTCATCAAGCTAGCTGGAACACAACAAACACAGTAGTGGTCAGAACACTAAATGTATAGACTATCTGTTATGACAACAGCTATTACTTGTGTGTGTGTGAATACCTTTCTCAAGCTGGCAAAGCATGATTAAAATTAATTTACTGCAGAGAAAGAAAATATAGGTTAGTAACTGTTTTTTACCTCGTGATTTACTTTCATATTCAATTAGCAACTAATATTACATTTTACAGCCATGATGAGTTATTATTAAATACACAGTTTCTGAAGCCTAGTTTCACATTAGTTTCATTTCCGAAATATGAATTCAAATAAATAATAACTTTCCATGTTGCTCACCCGTTACAAAGTCATTAATGTGAATCCATAAATTGGACATCACTCAGTAGGAATACTGTTTTAGGAAGAGGTCGAGGTTGTGGGGACAGAACTGTCAACATCTGTCTTTCTGTGTCAACAGCTGTGCTGTGTAAACAAGATGTTAAGGTTATGAATACACAAACATCTAACAACTTCTGAGCATCTTCATTGACTTGTATATTAACTAATATTATTTTCACTGTTCAAAGATATATCTAAAAACCCATACACACTTTTATGATGAGAGATGAACTGTTTAAACAAACTATTTTTATATATACAATTGAAAATGACTATCAATGTTTAAAGTAAATGACTGTATACATACATAAAATATTAAGTTTTAACTACAGGTTTGGTATCCAACATTTTGTTTTTAATATAAGCAATTTTCAATGTACTGTCAAGAAACATGAACATAAAGGAAATTACTTTGGATAGAAATAGTACCAGAAAAAAAATGCATTTTGAGTGTACTTGTATACAATAACAACAATAGTTAGATAGGGTATTTTAAATATATCTGTTTGTTTGTTGTTAAGAATGGTCTATCTAATATCTATGCTCTGCTTACCACAGGTATTAAAATTGATCTTTAACATTAAATGCCCTTAGGTGTACTGCTGATACCTTAGTGAGCAAGATTCATTTTAAAAATGAAAAAAAAGTTATTTAAAAAGTTGAGTCTGGGACAACAGTGCTTCCTAAAGTTTTTCAGCTCGTGGCACACTTTTAATGTCCCAAACTTTTTGTAGCACATGTAAATAAGTCTGTATGACTAGTGGCACCCCCCAGAGTACGACTGTCAGAAATTACTATTATACTGTGTATCATGGAGAAAATAAATCAAATTTTAAATTTTTAAAATATATCAAATTGATAATAAGTTTACATTACCACATAAAAATTACTTAATAATTGCAAAAATTATGCGGCATCCCTGAGACCCTTCTGTGGTACACAGTTTGGGAAGCACTGTGCTACAAAACACTCATGTAAGCAAAGACCACTAATAGCTAGTGATAAGAATGTAACAATATGAAAATAACACAGACACAAAATAATATACAGCATGTGCACCATGTACAGAATAAAAAGTGCTCTCCATCAGCTTTTAAAATCAATTTGCAAATGTATATTTTTAAATGAGGTGAAATACTAATTTAAACTTGCTTTTGTTTTCCTACTACATAACTACTATAAAAGTCTTACCTTACTTTACAGAAGAAGTACTTCTATCTAATTGCATCAAAAACAATATTGCATATTCTGGAGTTTCCACCATATCAGTTGAAATAGTAATTATAGAATATTTATTTTAACTGTAGCAGACTGCTGATATAATTTAACAGTTTGTATCAGTGGCATAGCAGGAGGGGAGGCCGTGGGGTTCAGTCGCCCCCGGGTGCAGGTGTGAAGGGGTGCAAAATTTCCTCTGGCCTATAATGCCTATTAATTAATAATTATGCCCTCCCCTAGGATATAGCGCAACTGCCCTACATTAAGTAAATACGACACATTATTTGTGTGTATTACGCTTGCAGTTTTAACTTTTAAAAGCCGCCCACCGAAGTACAGTGAGAACGAATTGACGTACAGAAGTAAATTACACTGTTCCATCATTCATCTGTAGATCAAATACAAGTCCTAGAGTACAACATACAAGTAAGTGTATGTTAAACAAAAAGAAAATAAGAGATTGATGTAACATATTAACTGGTGTGCAAGATTGGCAATATATGCAGCAGGCAAGGCCTAGATCTAGATCTAGTAAACATTATAGGCCTAGTGGTTTGTAATTGTATTGACTGATTGAAAATCATGTCTTACCCAACTAATGTACAAGACTTTAGGTCTAATTGCAGTTATAACTTTATTTCTAGATCCTAGGTTCATCATCATACAAATTGTAGCCTATATTATAGGCATACTTAGATCTATACTAACTATTAAACTAGGCATTGCACTGGGACAGATCTAATGACTAAGTTAATAAATCTAGATCTAACATTTGTTCTAAAAGTTAGGCCTAATAAATCTAAATCTAGAATTGATGAGGCAGGATTATATGTAGATCTGGGTAGATTCAATACAAGGTG